GGTGATTGGCGAATTTATTTTTTTTTGCAGTGTTCTCACTACCTAGAATGGATATAAAATATATTCGTTCAATTGAAGGCAATAGCATACTTTTTCGTTTTGTAATCTGTGCATGGATATTAGCCAATCTACGCACATACTACAAAACGAAAAATTATGTTATTGCGTTCAACTACGAATATATTTCATATCCATTTTAGGTAGTGAGAACACTTTAACAAAATTAAATCTACAAATCACAGTTCATATTTTGGTCACCCAACTCCTATTATTTAAAATTTTTTAAATAAGTGATAATTCTGTTAAACTAATTGTCAATATATATTTTAGTTATTGATATTAAATATACATTAAAATTTTTGTGTAGACTCGATAAATAATAGCATTTTTGTTTTTATTATGTCCACATTTAAAAAAAATAAATTTTAATCAAACTACATGATACTAATTTAATTACGAGTATTAAAACTAAAGCCCTGAAAGTTTCGGTGAAGATGAGGACAGAACATCTGCCTTCCATGCGAAAAGCCCGGGATCGAATCTAGGCCGAGGACTAATTAATTTTTCATGTTTATTTTATTTTATAAATTAGTCAACTTCGTAAATTATTTTAAAATTAGTTATTTTGTCTAAATAACCTAAAATAATTTTTTAAATTTGTAGATTTTCGTTAGTGGGTCGTAGAAAAAATATACTGACCATATCGAGGGGATTGTTCATATCACAATCAGACGATTGAGTACTCCGCCTACGACGTCGTGCTCAAACTTCGTCTTTGTGTGATATGGCTATCATATCCACCCTTGTTGAACAAACTACAATTTATTTGTTTTCTTGGTTTAAGTTTTACATCAGAAATAAGAACTAAATTAATTTACTTTTCAAGTTTTCTTGTAAAAATCGATATTACTTTCTCCAAGTACAAATTTAGTACCTACCTAAAATAAGTACTAATTATGTAATATCGTGTAATATTGTAATTCAAATTTCACATTATTATAAAGTTTCAAAATTCCCTACTTCGGTATGGTCAGATAAAAATTGAATATATTATATTATTAAAAACTGTTAAAGTATTACTTCTACAAATCTGTATTTCAATTAATAAGACTACATCTAAATATAACCAATATTGTTAAAATAAAAGCACACATTCTTTATAATTCCAAAATACCATAGAGTTCCCATACCTCAGTCGAAGCATTCGTTTATCTAGATATAAACCCTTTGCGCGAAGAGTAACACTTGCCAGAGACACGGGGTACCACTTGATTTGCATCCACGAGCGTGACACATTTCTTTAACAATTGAAGCCCTTGGTGTAAAAAGGATCCAAGTCACAATTTGTCGTGAAGTGACTGATTTAGCTCAAAACATTTGTTAACGAGGATTTTACTAGCCACATACAAATTATTTTACCTCTAATCCGAAAGATGTGCTATTTTTCGTAATATTTATATTTAAATAATTTTTTTAATTATATTTGACAGATTTAAAACAAATTAAAAATTTAATTTCCCAAAATTTACTTAACATGGCATGTAACCAACCTTATTACGTCAAGGTTTTCAATTTTTTCAATAATAAAAAAATTGCTTAATCCGGGCCCGACTTTTCCCTTTAATCTAACAGAGATAGCACCATTCCGTCTTGCTTGGTTCTCGACCGCCAGATCAAAGACGCCGACACGGAGTTGTGGAGCTGTATTGTATAAGCTGTGCTACTACCTTAATAAACTTAAAAGTTTGTATGCTAATTGGTAAGAAGAAATATGAAAATGCGAGTTAAAAATATTAATCCTTCAATGTATCATGGATTAGATTAGAGAAGTACTTTTCTAATTTTTTTTTGCTTCATTTGAAAACACTTACATGGATTTCTCGCAAGCATTTTTACCAAAAAAAGCTTCGTGCAAGAACGGATTGTAAGTGCAATTCAGTTGCTTTTTCATTTGGTCCGAAGTGGTGATTCCGGGAAAAAAGGCTCTGATTTAGGCTGTGATCGAAGCGGACGTCGTAAAAGAAAACGTAACGTCTTCGAAAAAAAAAAAAGTACAAAATTTAAGTGCGGGCTATAAGGAGAAAGAATGTGAGCCATAAGTGATGGACCCGCTGTACTCTTACCAAAAAGTACGTCATTGGTCACAGTAGTTATCGATTCTAGTAACTGAGTTTTATGGTGTCCTGCCATTCGAATAATTTACTCAACATCCAAGCAGGTATCATAAAACTTTATTTGTCGTCGACTCAATGGCGGAACATAGAGAAGGAGAGTAGGCGGTTAACTAAGTCAGTGTAAATCGCAAAATAGAAAATTATACAGGAGAGCCAAAATATTTATTTTTGTACCAAGGCAGTAAAGTTTATCTTTTTTGGCCAAATCAGAATTTCAAGCAAATAGGAATTTATTGGTAAGTAAATATGTCATTGTATTAGATGGAACCATAAACCGCATTTTAACTATAAAGCAAAAAGATAAGAAAACATATTATGAAGAAAAAATAGACAATTTAAAAGATATTAGTAAACAGATGTGGCGAGAGATTAAACAATTTTTTGACAGGATAAAGGAAAATTTTAAACAGAAAAAATTATATTTGATGGATTAAACTATAGTATAGCAGAAAATTTTAATGAAACTACAACGTTAGCTTCAGAGATATAGCAAATAACATAGAAGAGTAAAAGTGCATTAGTCCTAGCCAAGAATCGTACCTTTCCGGTGAAAATTTACAGAAATAACGTTAAATAATTTAGAGAAAACTGTGTTCTTTATAAAAATAAAAGTTCTAATGATAACTGTCTAAATGTAAAATTATTAAAACAACTTTTTTGTATCATAGATTATCTATTGAATTTGGTAAATTTGGTCATTATAAAAGGTTGTTTCCCTGCAGACCAAAAAGTTAGCATAATTTTACCAATTATTAAAGTGGTAACTACAACTTGTCCCGAAGACTGTCCACCTATAAACCTCCTAGGTTATCAATAAAGTAGTTGAAATTATCATCAGGGATTAACTCCAAACCCTATTGTTGAAGAAAATTGTTTGTTATATGTGGAACAATCTGGTTTACGTGGAAAACACTCATGTGAAACTGCCATTCGGTTAGTGCGTTCACAATGGAGAAAAGAAATGAATAATAATAGTATAATGTGGTAGTTAGTATTTTTGTAGATCTGAAACGGGCGTTTGAAACGATAAGAAAATTAGAAAAATATGGAATGCAGGCAGTAGTGTTAGACTTAATTAAAGATTATTTGAGCAACAGGTATCACAAGACAAGAATAGAAAAAGCAACTTGAAGTAAAATATTAAGTAATTTTGGGGTACCACAAGGGACTGTTATGGGACCACTTTGTTTATAATCTATATTAATGATCTTCAAAGAATGTTAAAAAATTTGTTTCATTTATTTGCAGATGATACTGTCATATCTGAGTCTGGGCAAAAAAGGAGTTGGTGAAAACACTAAATAATATGGAATTAAATTTGCTTTACAATTGGTTATGTGAACTAAGTTAAGACTAAATGCTACAAAAACAAAGTACACGATCTTGGGATCTAAATTAATATTGTTTAAAATTATTTTGTCAAGATATTCAAAATGTTAAACTTTAAAAATTTTGCAGACTATTTGTGTAAAAAACTAGTAAAAAATTGAAATTTTAGTAGAATTTTACAAAATTTGTCCTAGTGGTCTCAACTCTTAATTGTTAACAGTATTATAATACCTCATTTTAATTTTAATGACTCACTTTTGCTTTCATGTTCAAAAGAGCACATTAATAGATTACAAAAATTAAAGAATAAGTGTATGATAATTATTTTGGGCTGTAGTAGATGTTTCAATTGAATTAAATTGGTTAACAGTGGTGGAAAACATTAGAAGAGCGAATGCTTTACTTATTTATAAAATGATGACCGTATTTTATAGAACTACTAACAACGAGATTCGATCATCACTCACGGTCATTAAGGTCACAGAACAATTTTGATGTACTTTGTTATGTGAAAGGGTTCGCGTTTTTAATACTTTATCTGGCGAAATAAAACATTTTCTTAGTGTAGGTATGTTTAATAAAGATATTTGTCAATTCTTTATCAATTGTAATAGTTATTATACTAAATAAAGTATTATTTATTAGTTTCAGAAAAAAAGAAGAGTTACGCTCTTTGCGATTTACACTGACGATGTATAAGGTTGTTTTCATCAAGAATAACAGTTGGATGATACTTGGATCCATTACTATACACCAAACTCCATAAATCAGATAAATATTTTTTTAAATACTTTCAAATGTTGGTTTTAGATTGAATGAGGCTGCTGATACGCCACTGGTGGAACATTGCTGGTCTCGAGACCAACAAAAAAATATCTTCAGCTTTAATTGATGTTGAACTTTTATATACCATTAAAACAATAAAATTCCTTTCGCTGATAGGAACACAACATGGCAAATCTTGTAAGCGAAATAAAAGAAAAGTTGGTACAGTTCTTCCTAAAAAGGTCGGGTCCGTGTACGCATAACAATTGACGACTTCCCACAGGTGGGTACTGCCGAGCTACCTGTGCTTTTTTGTCAATGGCAACACCTAGCCGATAAAAATTCGCCGGTTGTAAATAAATATTACCGAACGTACAGTTAAGACCTTTTATGCTTCGTCTGTCTATTATTCTTCTACGGATGAATGTGAACGGTACACTTTTTCTGCTCACATCGAGAAAGTTACTTTAAAATATGTAGGTATACAAGGGTGATCTATTAGTATGAAAAAGTCAATGACGAATACCTAATTCAGAAAATACTTGAATCGTAACTGGTCACTGGTTAATAGGAAATACACTGTGTTTGTTATTTTGTAATTAGAATTTAACCAGTTGTAATTCATTACCGACTGAATAAGTTTTTGACAATTTCTAATGGGACTTTTACCATTCAATAAAAAACAAATACCTATAGCAACCAACCCAGACTCACTCCATTATATATAATTACCTACTTTATCAATCAAATTTATGTTTAAATATTAAAATACATTCATTACCTAATAATGAACACAGAATTATTTAAAAAAGTAAATATCTTACAGAATCAATTAAAAAATGTTGTATATGTAAAATAAAAAAATATGTAAATAACAAAATACTGTAATGAAATTTAAATGTTTTGGGTACTTTAGCCACTTCCACAGAACGACATTTTAACCTTGAAATTGAAACTGAATGTTTGTGCAAAACGTATGCTTTTGATAATAAAAATTGTGCATTTCCTGAAAAAAAAAATTTTACATCTTTTAAATGATTAGGTATCTAATGTAGTAAGTAGTACATTTTAATTTTTTTTTTATTTAGAATAAGTTATCTCATGTGATAAGTTCGATTTTTTGACACCAATTCCTAATCTTTTAGGATCAGAGCTGAGTTCTTTAAATTAATTATTAAGAAAAGCTAAATATAACTTTCCTATAAATGCCCCAGTTTTTATTCTACGTGATAAAGTGAATTTATTAAATACATAACTTTCTATATATCTTCGCTTACTGTAAAATTTTAAAATATGTACATATTAGTTAATCGCCATTATTAGTTAACACACTCTATTTCAATAAATTACGATAACCCATTTGCGTAGAATCAAAAACTTTTTGAACACCCTATATTTCATAAAAGTCAAGATTAATAATTATTTATCAGGCAATTTATCACAAAAAAGGGTCCTGTAGAAGATTCCGTTTCCGAGATTTTTTAATTTTAGTTAGTCCTATTCAAACATGAAATATATGTACAATTTTATCAAGGGCCAATTTTATAATTAATATTAAAAGATCCATTAACTATTGGGAAAAAGATTTTATGGACTCAATGGTCCCATTAGTTAATGGCCCTTTTAATATTGATTATGAAATCGGCTTTAAAAAAATTACATTTTTGAAATTTTATAATGTACATAGCTTTTCATATGTGATTAGAACTAAGACTAAAAAATCTCGGAAATGGAATGTTTTACAAAGTTTGGATCAAAATTATTTTCTTAGCCCTTGTTTCTACGCCAATGGGTTAATTTATCGAATAAAATAAATCAATTAAGAATGGTGATTAACCTTAGATTAAAGAGACATTGCACATCGCGCATGTTGTCTATTCCAACCCTAAGTAACCCACCAATTAAAAATCATTGTGTCCACGACGCCACCCGAATTGCTCCGAAATTTCTATTCTACGCTCGTATGTGAATCATTATGGACCGCCTATCTAAATTCTAGCAATATTTATTATACAATCGAATGCGGTTTCAAAGATAACAGGATCAAAAAATCCGAATCTCTAATTTTTGGAGCTAAATGCTCGGATAAAAGCAAACGACTGATAGGAGTTACAAAAATAATCGATGTATCATTTTTTTTTTATGAAAATCGATTTATCCGTTATAATTAATCGATTATTTTCGATTAATCGAACATTTTCAACAAATTATTTTCGTTTTTTTAAGATAATGGAATAATCGATTATAAAGGAATTACAAAAAGAATGTAATTTATTCAAAATATTCGATTGATTGAAAATAATCGATTTTTTAGAAAAATTGATTTTTTGTTTAATCGGCTTTTTAAATTAATCGATTATTTTGATTAATCGGTTATTTTCGATTTTTAAAAGGTATTCGAATAATTTGTTTTAAAAGAAATACGAAAAAATAGATTATATGAAAATAATCGATTGATCGAATATAATCGGTTATTTTATATAATCGATATTTCGGTTATTTTTTAAAATTATCGATTTATCGGTCAATCAGCTTTTTATTAATCAATTATTTTCAATTTATCGATTACTTTCGATTTCTTAATTCTTCTTAATTCTTCTTAATTAATTGATTATTTTCGAATAATCGACAATTTTCGATTTTTCAAAGATTATCGAATAATTTGTTTCAATGGAAATACGAAAAAAAAATATATTGTTTGAAAATAATGATTATTTAAAATAAACAATAATTCGTTTATTATTTTTTGTAAACACTGATTTATCGGTTAATTGGTTTTCTAATTAATCGATTATTTTAATAGGTTGTAAGATGATATAGTATTTATAATATTTAAAAAAAAAAACAAAAACAAAACAGTGAACAACAGATCGATCGAGAGATAGGTGATATGTTTTACATTTGTTATAAATTAATTGTTTGTTTAACATTTCGTTTAAGATACTATTTAAGCATGGAATATTTACTAAATGTTATCATTTAAAAATGGTAATGAACATTTAAAAAATATTTTCCAATAATTAGAGAATTCAATTTTTACATTAATAAACTTTTTCACTATTATGTATTTTTCTCATCCAAGGCATGCATCTACATTTTCTTTGGTTTCTTTCTTAAATCACTTACATACAACATACAAAATAATAGGAATAGCCGTTACAACAGTTCGAGACCCAACAAAATATTTATATTGACTCTAATCTCTATTACTAAACTTTCATTAGTTTCTTGTTGCAGAGACAAACTCAAATATAGTCTGTTAATCTTGAATAGTTCGCAGTTTTGCTTCTTTTACTTTTTAAACTATTTCGAATCCAAACATGTAAGTTTTATTGAAATATTCTTAAATATTTTTCAAAAAACATGTTTCGTCAATTATTTTAATACTTTTGAAAGTCTGTAAAACATAAAAATACATAATTAGTGAGTGTAAGTTTGATACTGAGATATTAACATTTTGAATTTTCCACCTCCGGCGCAGTCTCGTAATTATAGCATATGTGCGCTAAAGCTACTGAAGGAATAACGGGAAGCTACCGAAAAAACTGCTTTTTTAACTGGTATAGCAGAAAGAAAAATATATCTTATTTTAAAAAGATGGTCGAAAGAAATCAAAAACGAAAAGACAGAAGTCATAAAAAAGAATTGAGTCCATCTAGGGCTGGGATATTTATTTACGATATGCCCATCAGGGAAACGATTTGTATAAAGGGGAAGTACATGAAGACGAAAGTGAAGAATGTGATGAGAAAAGCGAAAAAGGATAAGAAAATAAGAAAGATAAACAACTCAAGTTATTATTCCACCCAGCGTATTTTTTAATAAATCCTTATTATGAAATCGTTATACCATTTAAAGGGTCCTTTTAATTTTATGAAATTGGGCCTTAAATTGTAAAGCATTGCACTTTATATTCACTTCAACTCATAAGAATAAAAAAGTAATTGTCTAATCTAAAGCATTTTAATGTCTTTCTATACAAGTATTGATCGCGAATTTTCACGTTTGCTCAAAAATGCCATTCAAACATTGTGCATCAATTGCTGCCGAGCTATTAGTATTTAAATAACTTCAATTACAAGCAAATTATCAATTAAAATGATTCGACGAAACGACTCACATCTTAAGATACCTATGCCAGACATTCAGAATGATAGGCTATGAATGATTGCGTCCAGTGGCGCAACCAAAAGAATTGTAAGTAATAACGAATAAAAAGGTAATTCAAAATATTTATTTAAATAACGAAACTTGTAAATAATTTATCCTTTCAACCTAGCTCCCATTGCAAGGAAAATCAACCGATTTAAACCATTTACCCCTTTATTGAAAGGCGTTCATACATTCCACATGATATCTGCACCAATAGTCTTGGTGTAATATTTGTATTAACTGCCACCTTGATAAACGTTTGACGAATAGTTCAGTAAGAGTTTTATCTAGTAAAAGCTGGAAATTCACTGAAAGTATGATACCCACAAGAAGTTAAATCCTATATATCTGTTACCGGTGCTATTTTACTAAAAAGACTAAAACCCATCATAGACGGCAAAAACATAATACCAGACCACCAATTTGGATTTAGGATTAAGTACTCAACTATTGATCAAGTACACATAATGACGAATGAAATATAGAAAACTCTGGAATGCCTATAACGACCCTTCCAATCCTATTTTCCTGTAAGATATGGAGTGGCTTCGTTAGGTAAATCTCCCTCTTCTATTTGATATCCTCCTAGATATAGTGCCCTTGGATTCTGGAGTGCTACACATTCAGTTATAATGTGAATGGAGGTTTCGTCCTCCTCCTTACAGAATCGGCACTCACTATCCTCTACTACTCTCAGTTTACTAAGGTGTCCTTTTAGTCGGCAATGCCCGGTAAGAATACCGGTTACAATACGTAGCCTGTTTTTTGCTCAGGCAGATGCAGGCTTCCGATCTTTTCTGGTTATATTCATCCAGAAGTATCTAAGCCTGTCTCAACCCCTAGAGATTGTTCCAATTATCGGCTCTTCTACTGCCCAATTCTTTGAGAATATTATGTTACTGCTGATACCGCAGAACGGCTCAGGTCCTACAAAGGGTTTTTGAGCCCCTTTCCTTGCGAGACTATCTGCAATCTCATTACCCTGTACCCCGTTATGTCCCGGGACCCGTTTTTAACAAAACTGTACTTCTTTAACATTTCATCCTGGGGCATGTCCCAGGTATCTTTAGTCCTGAAGCAAGTATACTTTCGTCTGATTACTCCGTGTCCTTTTTGCCACATTCTCTATCATCAAATATAGAGGGGTGAGGTTTAAGATTGCCTCCATTGCGGCCGTATGGCAGGTTTTCATTGCACCAGTAATGCAAACACAGGCTAGTCTTTGTACTTTTGAGATATTAGCTCCCGTAGTAGCTAAACTAGTTCTGTTACTCCAGGTTATAGCCCCGTAAGTGATGATTGGTCTCACTATTGCAGTATACATCCATCGCAGTATGTTTGGGTTACATCCCCATCGTTTACCCGCAACGTTTCTGCACACCATTAGGGCTTGTGTGGCCTTATTTACTACTTTCTTCTCATGTGTGTTCCAGAGAAGTGTGTTGTCCAGGGTTAGGCCTAGATGTTTGACTTCATTTTTCCATTCTATATCTATCCCGTCTAATTTAACGGTTTTGAGATTGTTTTCTTTTCCTTGAAAAGGCTACTAGTGTTGTTTCTGTAGGGTATATACTAAGTCCCAC